TCTCTTTCTCTCTCTTATTGTCCTACTCTCTCTCTCTCTCTGTCTCTTTCTCTCTCTTATTGTCCTACTCTCTCTCTCTCTCTGTCTCTTTCTCTCTCTTATTGTCCTACTCTCTCTCTCTCTCTGTCTCTCTCTCTCTCTCTCTCTCTCTCTCTCTCTTTCTCTCTCTTATTGTCCTACTTTCTCTCTCTCTCTCTCTCTCTCTCTCTAGCCTGAGGTGAGGTTTTTTGAGTCCTTGTGATTGTTTTTACGCAGATATCATCACACTGTTCTGTTTGCAGTGGCTCGGTTGTTCACCAACATTTGTACATCAATCCCTCGGCTCCCTTTTTGCGTCACCGACGCTTCGCAGTATACAATTAAGCTCTCCCCCTGCCTGCAAAATTCATGACTTAGACGACAACTGAGACCAGAAACAAGATTCATCAACGGGCAGGACTTGCCGAAAGCACTTGACAAACTGATTTACAAAACCGTCACAGGCCCAACGACCAAATAGAACCAGGTTGTGAATTATTCAACGTTGTGTTGACGGGCCCCACGTCAAGGCTGAACGGTGGAGGGGAAAGTGCAAGTTGTGGAACTTGGTGTTTGAGAGCTCCATGGAAGTGGGGAAAGGAAGCAAATGTGAGAACGGAGGCAGATCTGTTCGGGGTATATTTTACATATATATATATATATATGAGAAGTCCCCTGATAAACAACAACCGAGCATAGTCACAGACTGAAAATCGTGAGGGTATCAATTTTGAACACTTGTTGACTCAGAACTGTATTAATTTTACTTGGCCTAGCACGCTCAAGGTCTTCCTCCAGATTCTGACTACTAGAACGTAATTCTGATTGATTGCCGTCTTTCTCCGTTTCCTCTCGCTTTCACCTCTGTTTCGTGGGGCACAAACTTTACGTTTAGGGGGCATCTTATTACATTATTAACTAATGTTCCATGGGCATCTTTACTCCGAACAGATCTCCATCTAGATTGACATCTTCTTGCTAACTACTCCAAATCAGTTTTGAATTCTGCGCTTCAAATACATCTAGGATATGGAGGTCTAGATCTAGATTCTAGATATCTAGAGCCTTGCTCTATAAAAACTTATGCATAAAACGTCAAAACAACGAAGTGAACATAAAGATTTTGTAGGGTTTAAACGAACTCAACGTGTTGGAGACATGACTACACTTAATATATTATCTAGAAAAAAGTCAATACGATGAAGTTTGACCTAAAGTACTCATCGACACGTTGAAGCACTCATCCAAACACAGTTAGATTTCGAGATTCTAGATCTGGAAGTAACACAAGCAGCTTTGCAAACACGAAGTAGAACTCTGTGGCACACACACGACAAAGCACAAACCTTACTTCTGTTCTTGCTAACTACTCCAAATCAGTCTTGAATTCTCCCCTCCTTCTTTTTGTGTATGTAAGGCCTGCCTCACATAAAACATGACCTTCCACGTTTGACTACAGCCATGCGACATCACACGCCTCACTTTATCTGATCACAAAGAATCTTGGTTTTGTCGTCCATCAGTGTCCTCATCGTCTGTCCATGCTTGTTTTCTTTTTTTCTGCTTGCATACTGTTTCGACAGTTTGCTACGGCTTGGGATTGCACATATCTACCAGAGCTGTACTCACCGCAGGATGTGACAAGACACGTCTCAAAAAGAATCAGCAAGCACATTCCTCCCTTCACGTGAACAACTCACGCTTTACAAAATGACTAGCGTGAGGCAACTGCTTATGCGAGAAGTGCCGTGAAAATTGGACTGAACACTTTTGCTCACACGCGTGACCCGTGTCTGTTCACCCGTTTGACGTGTCGAGTGACGCTCTTTGTGAGGCGGGTCTTACTCTCTTGTAACGCCTCTATTCTTCGGCACTTATATGACCTTCTTGTTTTGCAAGTGCCGTAAAACTCTTACGAAACAAACTAGATTGGCCTTGTCGTCGACGTCAGAACACTCCGCCTGATGAACGATGAGAATGTTGTGGATGAGGGCGGGAACAATCATTTGGCGACCTCAGTGCTTTCTTGCCCTATTTTCATTTTTGACAACAGTGAAAACAGTTCAAAACAAAGAGTGAGCTTAACCCTATCCGCACGTGTTTTACTGTCGTATCCATACGACGTGGGGAACTCTGTGCCACCACTTTCCAAAGAGGAAATTTACTCGTTAATCCGATCCGTACACTTTTGCTGTTTAGTAGAATAGCAGTGTGTCAAAATGATGTTAGAAAAATACTGAAAGTTTCAAAGAGATCTTCGTACTAGAAGTTTTCTAAACTGTGAGGAATACAACCCCGGGAGAACAAAATGACCCCGCATACGGATAGGGTTCGGAAGAAGTCACATTTTCAATGTAAAAAAAAAATGGAGATAGGACAAGAAAGCATTGAGGTCGCGAATTTACAATCCGGCAATCCAAAATGGACGAAGAGTTACGTTTTATCATTCAAACAGCACCGAAGAAGAGAACGGTTTAGAGAACAGCCAAATATGAGATGTTCACGAGAAATGGACCCTCGCTCTCCTTCTCTCTGATTCTGTCTCTGTCTGCCTGTCTCTCTCAATCTCTCTTTTCTCTATTCTCTCTCTCTCTCTCTCTCTCTCTCTCTCTCTCTCTCTGTCTCTCTCTCTCTCTCTCTCTCTCTCTCTCTCTCTTCTACTCTTTTTTCTCTCGCTCGCTATCTCTATCTGTTTCTCTCTCTTTCTCTTTCACTCAATCTCTCTCTTTCCCACCCCCTCTCTCTCTCTCTCTTCCTCTCCATCTCTCTCTCTCTCCCTTCATCAATCTATCCATCCATCTAATTACGCGAGTTTGTTTGCCTCTCTCCCCCACCCCCTCTCCCGCTCTCTCCCTTCATCAATCAATCTATCTATCTATCCATCTATGTGTGTATGTGTATGTGTTTGTTTGCCGCTCCCTCTCTCCCCTCATTTCAACACCCCCAGGAGAAGTTAAGGCCCACAGACTTGATCCCAGCAAAAGGAATGAAAGGGAAACATTCTGTCCTAACCACCAGCACCCAATCCTCATGTGTGGCAAACATTCATGTTTCAAACCTCCCAGACTTCAAGGCCGTACGTTTGTCCAGGATAGAACTGCCACGCCCCCACCCCACTCCACCCCCCCCCCACCCTTTCAGAACACCCTCCTCTGGTAAAAAATAAATAAATAATGAAATGAGTCACGACACGGTGGAATCAGACGCACGTCAATTTTGGGGCAAGTGGAGTTATTGGTATTATCTGATAGTTTGTCCATTTTTCTTATTTTCTGGGGGAAAAATACCCAATTATCTAGAATAGAAGTCGAGATATTTGTGATTGAAAGAGATGGGGGTCTCCTGCTGTCAAAAGTAAAATTACCCGTAACGAGAAAATAGCGGCGAAAGTTTGGTGATTTCCAAAGCTTAAGTGTCCTTGGGAACTGCAAATTTTCACTCTCAGTGCTTTTGATCATTATTTTTCTTGTAACGTCCAGACAGAAATGTTTTCTTAAATGGACATCACGGTGTTGAGCTTTTTTAGTTTTAGTAGAGATTTTACAGCGCTCGAAACTGCATATTAAGGTCATATGAGGCTCTTGGACTCGCAACCGTAAGGTCGTGGGTTCGAATCCCGTCAGGGGCCCGACGTTGTGTCCTTGGGAAAGACACTTTGCACAAATTTTCCTCACTTCACCCAAGTGGAAATGGGTACCCGGCTATAGACAGTGAAAGATCTTGTCAGTTTGATAGTGTTTGAGCGCGTGAAATCCGCAGCTTGCACTGTATGCTTCTTCGGAAGCTGAGAATGTTTCTGAGTGTTCTCAGAGGGTCTGCTGGGGTAATAATAGTTGTAAAGCGCATAGAGCATGTTCTTGAGCGTGGATATGCGCTACATAAATGCAATTATTATTATTACTATTATTATTATTATTATTATTATTATTATTATTATTATTATTATTATTATTATTATTATTATTATTATTATTATTATTATTATTATAATTATAATAATAATAATTATTATTATTATTATTATATGAGCGCCAAAGTGTTGAGCTAAAAAAAAAATGGAAATTCGAAGAAAAAAAAGTGGCCAAGGTCCGGATAAATGGCGATTTCTTTGATCACATTATTTTGACGAGAGCCTTCTTTCACCACGCTGCCTCACAATAAATATGAAAGAACATTTCCAGCAGGAATTTATTAGTTTTTGAGATAAACAAATGACTTTTCTTCTTGAGAATTGTCAGCCTCGAAAATTAATGTCATTGTACTGAGTGATTGTGTGTGTGTGTGTGTGTGTGTGTGTGTGTGTGTGTGTGTGTGTGTGTGTGTGTGTGTATGTGTGTTTTATGTATGTGTGTGTATGAGTGGGTATGTTTGGGTATGTGGTTGTGTGTGAGAAAGAAAGAGAGAGAGGGAGGGGAGAGAGAGGCGAGGGGGGGGGGGTAGAGAGAGACAAAGAGAGAGAGAGAGAAAAAAAGACAGAGAGGGGGCGGCCGGGGGGGGGGGGGGGGGCGAAAGACACACAGAGAGAGAAATAACCCACAGATTAGACAAGATTGAGAGCGGTGGTGGAGAGGAAGGATGAATCCGATAAGGAGAAACAAAGTGAGTGGAATCTCTGGAGAATCAAATCACGTCCAACCTAATCAGCCACGCCGAGTAATTACAGACCACAGCTCACCGCGCAATCAAGACTTTAGGAGTTTGACAGAGGCCTACTGCTTGTGGATTAAAGCTGTCCCACACTCATTCCACTTGTCGCATCTGCTGGATGGGTTGAGTTTGAAAACGGCACACGCCAGTGGTAATATTTTGTCTTGCTTTTTTTGTCCATTTTTTTTTTTTTGGGTAAGTGTTTTATGGCGCTTGCAACTACATAAGGTCATATGCCCGCCCGGGACACACCAAACATTTTCAGTTTGTAGGACATTTTGAATTTTGCCCTGGTGGCGGCCGAAGCGTACTCTTATACGATTTTGGACCACCAA